TACAAATGAATTCTTATTTGCATTACAAAGGTGAGATCAAAATATTGTGAATGCAATGGCATTAGTAAGAGTAACAAAACAATGACTACAAATGATAAAAGATGATGGATGGGAATCTTTGCACAATGAGCTTTCTTTATTTTGTGAAAGAAACAATATTGGCATCCCAAAAATGGATGATATGTTTTTAACTAATGGAAGACCTCAAAGTAATGCTCATTATTGGGTTGAGTTGTTTTATACGGTAATTGATATGTAACTCCAAAAGCTCAACAATCATTTTAATGGGGTGAATATTGAGTTATTTCTTTATATGGCTTTAAACCTTGTTTATCTTTTATAACTTTTAATAAGGAAAACTTGACTAATCTTGCTCAATTTTATCCAAATGAATTTTCTAATGCGAAACTACTAGCTCTTAACAATCAACTTGAAACTTATATTATTGATTTAAAATCTCATGACGAGTTTACAAGTTTGAAAAGTATCAGTGACCTCTCCATAAAACTTGTTGAGAGAAAGAAATATTTTTTGTATCCATTGGTATACTTGTGAAATTAGCTTTGATATTACCAATATCTACTGCTTTAGTTGAAAGAATTTTTCTACTATGAAAATTATGAAGAACTGTTTGCACAATTGAATTAAAGATTCTTAGATGAACGTTTATTTGGTTATATATATAGAGAAAGATATATTTTGTAATATTGATAATGAAAAGATTCTTACAAGGCTATCAAAATATGAAATCTTGTAAAGAACAATTATAATATGTTATTTTATATATACATAAAATAGTTTTTAATGCATTTTAATTAATTTATATATATTCAGTATTATATATATTTGTCTCCATTGAATATAAATCTTTTATCTATCCCTAGACATAAAGATCTTGTATTTTTCTTTTGATTTACAATATAAAAAAATTTAGTTAATCTAAATATCACTGATGGTATATAATTTTTGACCACTACATATACCTGTTTCACAATTAGTTATGTGGTTAAGAACTATTACTCACAAATTCAATATATTGAGGTCACAAATAGTTATGACCAAAGTAACATATTGCGTTGACCAAGAATTATTACTTATAAATTCGATATTAAAATTAATGCCATCTAAATATCAAGATAGATAGTATACTCGAATTCAAACCACATTAAAGTGGCTACAAGCTAGCATAAAAGATTAAAATTCGATCAATGGCAGACTTACCTTAATAGTATCAATCGCTTCATTTGAAGGAATGGCATGTAAGACTCTATAAGTACATAAAAGAAGAGATGAAGATGATTTAGGTGTTAGAATCTCTTACATGAACTAAATTAGTACCACTGTATTTTAGATAGCACTAAGAAAAAGTCTATTATTCTAAAGACAAGTAAAAAATGGATGTCGATATGTTTCTTTTAACCTACTCCACTAATCAAGGTAATAGATAATAAAAAAAGTAGATATAGAAAGTACAAGCATTCTAGACCAGTAACAAGCCTGAAATAGTAGAGCACATAAAAAACCAGCATTTATATTATTCTCATAACTCTTGAGATGATGAATTAATAAAAAGCACAGTAAAATCCAGTAACTCAAATTTCCATAATGATAGTATGCAAAGAAATGTCAAACACAAGATAATGTAAAAGACAATTATTATCATTTTCTTCACAATCAATGCATTTAAGTCATTCTAAGTCAATATTGCAAATAGAGAGAACTAGGGCATTGGACCTAACCTAAGGTTTCATTATTGAAAACTCCCTTATACACTGGACCTAACCCAAGGTTTCATTATTGAAAACTCCCTTGTATATTGCTCCAAAACCACCTGAACCCAACAAATTTGTAAAATTATCAGTTGCAATCCTTAGCTGCTAATAAGTACATCTGATTGGTTTCTCCTTTTCCATGTCATTAAGGAATTTATCCATGGTTTATGTCAGAAATTGAAAGAGGTGAGTATTGTTCCTAATAAGGGTGTAAATGAATAGAGCTTTTGACGAACTATTTGCGAACATGTTCGATTTTTGTTCATTTATGTTTGTTTATTAAACTTAACAAACGATCTTAAAAAGCATTTTTATGTTCGTTTGTTAAACGAACCGAATATGAACAGAAGTCTGTTTGGTTCGTTTATGTTTACGAATAATCTTGTTTAATGTTCATGAATAAATTTGATTATTAACCTTCCATTTTTGTACTAAGGAATTATTCAAGGCGTTTTTGGCCAAAAAGGCCTTGAATAATCTCTTCTAAAAATTTTTTGGAGATTATTCAAGGTGTTTTTGCCCAAAAAACACCTTAAATAATTTTTTTTCCTTTTTCATAGCCTTTTTGGCTAAAAAATGCCTAAAATAATCCCTTAAACCCTAAACCCTAAAAATTGAAGATTATTCAAGGCGTTTTTGGCAAAAACGCCTTGAATAATCATATCATAAAAATTGAAGTGGATTATTGAAGGCGTTTTTAGCCATAAATGCCTTGAATAATCCCATTAAATTTTTTGTAAAGGATTATTCGAAGCGTTTCTAGCAAAAAATGCCTTGAATAATCCCCTCCAAATTTTTTTTAGGATTATTCAAGACATTTTTTCTTAGAAAACATCTTGAATAATCCTTTAAACACTAAACCTTAAAATTTGAGGATTATTTAAGGCATTTTTAACCATAAATACCTTGAATAATCCCATAAAAATTGAAGTAGATTATTGAAGGTGTTTTTGAAAATAAATGCCTTGAATAACCCCATTAAATGTTTCTGACCAAAAATGTTTTGAATAATACCCTTTAATTTTTTTGCTAAGGGATTATTTAAGCCGTTTTTGCTTAGAAAATGCATTAAATAATCTTTTAAACCATAAAACCAAAGAATTGGAGATTATTCTAAGGCGTTTTTTTGTAAAAACACATTGAATAATCACCTTATAAAAATTGAATTGAATTATTGAAAGCGTTTTTGGCCATAAACGCCTTGAATAACCCCACATCAATTACGAACCAAAACAAGGGATAGGTAAAGCTTACATATTCCCATCCTTTTCTTCTGCTAGACTTCTGTTACTACTTAAATGAATCCCACCCAGCTTAAGAACCAACATAAGATATGAGTAAAGCATATAAATTCCGACAATCCATTGAATATTTGTTCAACAAAATCAGTAGTTAGTTGTGAATATTGCAGTTTTTCACCAATAATGAGTTGAAAGTTTAAATTTAAAACTTAAAGTTGGAGCTCGTTTGTGTTCGACTAAAACTCATTGAAAATAGGTGAACCGAGCTCGAACATATGTTGTGGAGTTTGTTAAAAGCTCTTTTATTTATAAACTCGTTTATTACTAATCGAAATGAACTTGAACAGGAGGATACTCGACTCGATTCGGTTCATTTATAGCCATAGTTCCTAATATCTTCAGCTTCTCTCCTTATACCAATGACGATCATTATGACAAGAATAACGATGGTGATGATTACTGCAGAGAGCGTAGGACATCATCACAAATCCATAATTTATCAGTTTCTTTGACATGGATGAAAAAGAAGAAAATAGAACCTGCATATTGAAACGCTAGAGAAATTGAAAACCGTACCTGTAGCTAAAATTCCTGAACTTGATGATAAATGTTTTGAACGATGCATGCTATTCAACTCATCTTCATTTTTCTTCTGTTCACAATGTGATTTCTTTCTTCACAAATCTTGTGCTGAATTACATAAGTATAAGCTAATTTTGTTTCCCATCTGCCGACACTCTCGCATCCTTACTTGAGATCGCATTTTCAAATGTCGAATATGTAAGTGCATCTGTAATAGCTTTACCTATGAATGTAAAGAATATGAGGTGTATTTTTGCCTTCGATGTGCAATTCCTTATACTCTCAAATGTCAAGGACATGAACACCCCTCCTCTTTTATCACGAGTATGAACGAGAATGCAACGCTTGTAGTGTTGTATTTATCAAACTTGGAAATACTTTTGAAGAAGAGAATCATCCACACCCTCTCAATTTGGTCAAGAAGATTTATTATTATCCCAGCTGCCTTGCCTGTATGTTGTAAACCCTCTCACATTGTCCTTGGGACTGTGTATGTCCGTATCATCTAAGAGAGTAGTTTCATTTCCTGGTGGAAGTTAAGACGGATGTGATTGGTCATAATACTTGAAAACTGTCCTTTTTTCTTTGTTTTTCAGGAAGACAAGACCGACAGTACTTGAAACCAGGGTATGTTAATTGCAATGCTTGCTACTTTTGTAATCGTGGCTTAAACTTGTCAGTTTTAAGTTTAAATTGTCCGTTGCATCGTGTTGTAGCCATCTTAATTTGAAGCTTGTGAGGTTTGGTTTATCTGTCACCGGAAAATCTTGCTTGTCACTTGTTTTATTTTGTGGAATGAAGAGACTGGATTTTCGCTTTGTGATTCTTGTATTTTTAGTAAGAGTTGTGGACTTTTAGGCCACGCTCCATTTGGATCAGGTCCGTTATAAAACGCAATCTCGGATGATGCATGGAGGGGATTCCCATTTCCCACCAATGAGCAAAGGTTGAGTTTTTAATTTATTAAATGAATAAATCTTTATTTTCTTTTATTTAGTACAAATGTTTCATCCATATATTTTTTTAATTTTTTAGTTTGGATTTTAAAATAAATGAAAAAGTGAAATTTATAAAACAAAAAAAATTACTCATTGTATCATTCAACACAATTCAATGTCCTAATCAACATAATAAAAAAGAAACCTAACTTTTTTTTTGTTAAGAAAAAAATCACATGATTTCATATGATGTTTTTCCAAAAAAAATAATAATTAAAAAAGTAATTAAAATTTGAGGATTAAATGATTCAAATTACATTATTTCCATTTTAAATAGTCAGTATAATCTAATAATGTAACGTCAAAAAGATTTTTAATTACATTAAAAAGATTTCTTTTTTTTTAATTTGAACTTTAGTTCAAAAAAAAATCAAGTAAATAATAATTAAATAAAACCTAACATGATAGATAAGATAAGAGGAAAGAAAAACAGTAGTTTAACTGTTTAAGATTGAAGAGGAGGTACACATTACAAAGCTTGTGTCAAAGACACGAAAGAAAGTCAATACTCACCATGTGTACGTTGGAGAAACGCGGCGGCCTCTTTATTTTAACCTTGACAGGCGACGATCAGCACCGCCTCAATCCCACTCTCATCAGCTCCATTCTCTCCGCTCTCTCCAAGGCTAAGGCCCAATCAACTAGCGGCTCGGCCCTTATTACCACAGCCCAAGGCAGATTTTTCTCCAATGGCTTTGACCTCGGCTGGGCGCAATCCGCCGGATCCAAAAAAGGAGCTCAAGAACGGTTAAGCCAACTGGTCGAATTGTTAAAGCCTGTCGTCGCCGCTCTAATCAACCTCCCGATGCCCACCTTTGCCGCCATCACCGGCCATGCTGCCGCCGCCGGATTCATCCTCGCTTTGTCTCACGATTACGTAATCATGAGGCGAGATCGAGGGGTTCTTTACATGCCCGAGGTGGACATAGGGTTAACGATTCCCGATTACTTCGATGCGTTGTTTAGGGGAAAGATCGGTGCAGCATCGACTCGGCGCAATATGTTACTGCGGGGATTGAAGATGAAGGGAGACGAGGCGGAGAAAAGAGGGATCGTGGAGGCGGCGTACGATAGCGAGGGTGAAGTGCAGGAAGCTAGCGTGCGCATGGCGGAGGATTTGGCGAAGAGAAAGTGGGACGGCGACGTGTACGCCGAGATCAGGAAAGGGTTGTATCCGGAGCTTTGTGCCAAGCTTGGATTGACCACCAAAGCGTATGCTACACCGAGGCTTTGATTAATGGTTTTTACTATTTGAATAATCGAATGTTGTTTTTAATTTAAAACAGACGTGTACGCCGAGATCAGGAAAGGGTTGTATCCGGAGCTTTGTGCCAAGCTTGGATTGACCACCAAAGCGTATGCTACACCGAGGCTTTGATTAATGGTTTTTACTATTTGAATAATCGAATGTTGTTTTTAATTTAAAACAGAAGATTTGAAAAGTGTGCTATTGTATGCAATAAGATTTTCTTGAGGTTTCGTTCATAACTATAGACTAGAGATGGAGGGTCGGCCGAGCAAGCCAACCCTATGGCGTTCCACAAATTATGTCGGCCATATGTCTTGATAGCCATACAGCACCCACCAGACGAGGGTGGGCGTGGCATATTTAGCCAACCGACCCTTTTAAATATTACATGTGGTTTGCTAAGCTAGTAAATAGACAACTCTTTTCTGCTACTGGGGTTCTTCGCTCCATGTGGGATGTTTTGCTGTCTGAGACACGTCATTTTAGAATCGACCCTTTAATTGAAGGACGACGAACTAATCAGACGAATACTTATCTCCATTGACAATGAAAACTAGTAATACATGCTGTACAAATTTGATGATATTTCTGATTGTTCACTGCCACACAACCAAGGATGATCAAGTTTTTTTAAAGCAAAAACTGAATTACCCATTGAGCGGTTGAACATATCCTAGTAGAAAAATGCTTTGACATTGCTTAGAGAAGTCCTCTTCTATCAACCAACTTCTAAGAATTTATGTAGCACATTGCCTGTGCTTGAAGGAAATAACAATCCTTGTATTTCCTGCCATTCTCGATGTGAATCCCATTGCGGATCCAGTAATCTCGATTTACCCAAGCATCTCGACCAAAATCTAGAACTCCAAGGATCTGTATAAAGAGTATACAAGAAACATAAGGATTGCATTTGAAGTAAATAAGCAAATCTAGAACAGCTGCAGTTGAGATAACACAAGAAGCAATTTGCGTAAAGGCTGTAAACAGAACCAAGGAGCATTGGCCAAAAAAGAAACATGGAGCATTACCAATATAACGTGCAAAGTAGAATGCATCTTACTTCACACATAACAAAAGAAATATTACCTTCACTATCTCATTTATCAACAACAGCATACATACGAGTGATCTAACCTCCAATCTCACATCATAAAAGAAAATTTCCACTAGATACAGATTATGCATTTTCTAACATCTAGCTTCCCCCGATGTGAAAAAGTTAACCTAGTTTTTATAGTAGTTACTTACGATGACAGTAATTTCTCTCTAGCATTTATCAATTTAAATTTTAAACTGTAAAATTTCACCCCTATGAAGATATGGGATAAGCAAAATACGATAAGAAAATGCACTTTCATTGTACTGTACACAAAAGAGTCCCAAACTTAGAAAAGGATGGTAGATGACTTACAGCTCCGCCCTTTCAAGACACATCGGATTTGGTATTGATTGCAAAACCTATTTAGTAGTGAGAATCCAAGAACATTAAAATCAGCATCCATAGGTAAACAAAGAAAGAGACAAATTATAAGGAACAGAAAACCACAAACAGCCTAGAACCTAATTGAAGTATAAAACTGACTTAAACTAATCATAAAATAATGTTGGACATAAAAGATCTTGTATTTTTCTTTTGATTTACAATATAAAAAAAATTTAGTTAATCTAAATATCACTGATGGTATATAATTTTTGACCCCTAAATATTCCTTTTTCACAAATAGTTATGTCCAAAGCAACATATTGCATTGACCAGGAATTATTACTTATATATTCAATATTAAAATTAAGTCCATCTAAATATCAAGATTGATAATATACTTGAATTCTAACCACATTGAAGTGGCTACAAGCTGGCACAAAAGATTAAAATTCAGTCAATGGCAGACTTACCTCAACATTATCAATCGCTTCATTTGAAGGAATGGCATGTAAGACTCTGCAAGTATATAAAAGAAGAGATAAGATGATTTGGGTGCTGGAATCTCCTACAGAAACTAAATTAATACCACTGCATTTTAAATAGCACAAGAAAAAGTCTATTATATCGGAGACTTGTTAAAATGGATGTCAATATGTTTCTTTTAACTTACTCCACTAATCAAGGTAATAGATAATAAAGAAAGTGGATATACAAAGTACGAGCATTCCAGACCAGTACTAAGCCCAAAATAATGGAGCACATAAGAAACCAGCATTTATATAATTCTCATAACTACTGAGGTGATGAATTAATAAAAAGCAGAGTAAGATCCAGTCACTAAAATTTCCATGATGATGGTATGCAAGGAAATGTCAAACACAAGATAATGTAGAAGACAATTATTACCATTTTCTTGACAATCAATGCACTTAAGGCATTCTAAGTCAACACTGCAAGTAGAGAGAACTAGGGCATTTCACCTAACCCAAGTTAGTGCTCTTCCAGCCAGATACTTTATAATGTAGGCTTCAAATAAGCAGGTAAACACACCTACTTTCAAAGGTAAGGATCCGAATAGTTAGCTAGAATGCTGAATTTCCAAAATAGACATCTTAATTTTTTTTATTCAACATGTCTTTGTAGAATATCTTAACTGCCTATAATGTTAGCGAGAATCATATATATTTTAAGTAGGAGGATGACAAATGGGGCAAGAGAGAGAGAGAGAGAAACCAACCTCTCCTCCACAGCAGGAAATAACCCGCTAGTTAAAGCCACTCCACCAATCTGAAGCATAAAACCAAGTTAAAACTTCAATTATTAAAAAATAAAAGCATCTCATGTAGTCATGTGGTCAATACTTCTAACAAACCCACCAATTGTATGCTACAAAATAATTTTCTTTGCAGGTCTATGCGACCTGTCAATTGAAAAGAACCAAAAGGTTTAGATTGGGATAGTATTATAGCTTATTAGACATGCTAAATTAGTAGAACGAAAACCTACCTGTTGAACGAATGCTACCGGTTATGGCTTCTGCTAGGCCAACCTTCTCTTCTTTCTTTGGTTTCAATGAAAAAAATGGGTAGTTATCCCACATCAGTAAAACAGCACTAATGCCAGGATATAGACCATCTGGCATGTCAGATCTTCTTGGGAATTCAATATGCCATGTTTCTTCCAGCATATCTTCATAGTCATGAAACCTGGTGGAAAACACCATCAAAATAGTGCTTAAGGAATAATTCAAAACTACTTCTACAGAAAAGACAATAACTTGGACAAGTATTACTAACCACAAATGGGGTGTCGAAGGATATAATTCAGGAATCAAAAGTATCAGGTAGAACAAACCAATAGGAGGAACCTACTTAAAATGAACCATCAACAGTAAATCCTTCAAGAAAAGAAAGAAAATGATATCTGAGTTTGATTGAAAATGTAGATTGAGAGCAGTTATCCAGCAGGCATGGCATCCTCATAAGAATGAACTACAGCTAGAGCATCAAGTTCACCCTTCTGTGCAACAGTACAGTGAGAGAGTACAATAAGAGTGTTTCCACAGCAAAGAAACTTAAGAGTACCAGGCTCAGGAGCCACATGATTCACCTTGATTTCACAATAGGACTCTTTTAGCCTGTTCAGCATCAACAGATCTATAGGCTTTGTCAAAATGTCAGTACGAATTTGTGGCCATGTCTGATGATGCCTCTGAGTCCAAAGTAAACATCTTGATATATCCTGGAAAAGAAAAAGTAAATGAGATCACCAACATAAAATAGTAAGATATCTTTATTGTAATCTGAGGTAGAGAAGTTCTAGATGAACCCTTCAAGTTAATGGGCACAAACAGATTTCACCAACATCAACATTAGTTAAACATTCAACAATGAAGCTACTAACTCCGCCTGAAGGAAAGCTGAGGAACAGAAAGAATGAGAAATCAAACCTCTCCACCAAAGGATAAAGTCTTCTCTGTATTAGGTAGAGCCACTCCATCCTGCACATCAGATGAGTTATTAAAAGAGTAAAACCATGGAACTCATAAATTAGTCATTTCCCAGTTATGATACTAATAACAATACCAAGCACAAAATAAACCACGTATTGATTCAGTCTTCTTTACTTCTACGTGCATAAAGAAGAGTTTGCAAGGAAATAGCAAAACCAAAACTGTGGTATGTGAATGCTACCAGATGCTTTTCTTGACAGTGGTCACTCCAAAATGATAACATCATAGTCAAGGTGTTCATTTCTTCTAATAATTTTCATAACAGTGTCAGTTATAGTGGCATTGGTGGAGAAACCAACTACCATGATTTCCATGTATGATTGTGGGAGCAATAGTCTTTCAATTAGTATCAATCCAGTTAAGGAAAAGGTGGTGATGGTGCTTAAGCTAAATATAATATTATGGTGGTAATGACAACAGTGGAAGACCAACGGTATTATGACAGGTAACAGGGTGTTTAATGGAGGTTGTCATGGTGCTAAAGCTAAATGGAAATATTGTAATGACAGCACTCCAAGATTGATGATGTTACAAAAAATAACAGGTATCAAACTGATATTGGATGAGTATAAGATGTTAAAACATAGAAAAAGGTTTCCTCAATCCTGTTATTTAGTTTTTTCTTTTTCCTTTTTTTAAAGGGAGGGAGAGGGTTTGGAGGTGAACTACCCTTCCAACTTCCAAGCTATCTCAAAACCTAATCCTTTGAAATTCCCTCAACAGGAGGGACTTGAAAGTACAGTATTCCATTTAAATAATTTCAGCTTGTGATCCCTTACTCCCAATCGGAACCAAAGAATAAATGTACATAAATAATAAAAGCAACATATTTTATTTGAGTCAGTTACCTCAATGCAAATGACCGATGTCACTTGAGCACCCATATTTACAACACATGCCATCGATAATCCATTCCCAAAAATTGCTGCCAGGCCTCCCTGAAATCATATTTGAAGCAAATACACAAACCAAAGAGTAATTAACTACTTCAAGAGCATTTCTACTAGTAAAGCTGGGACAAGCAAATCTCATGAAAGAACACCATATGACAGAGATACAAGCCCTTATACAAGAGTAAGAACACATGCATATGTACAGATTGTAAATGAGTCAGAAACTTTCATGGAGGAAGCCACTTTTGTCTAATTCGTATCATTCAAGGAAAACAAAAGATCCCTAATAGAGTGCCTATATCATATCATGAGAAACTTATACTACACAATCCATGAATCCATCAAAAACACATGAGGAAAAGCTAATCACACAACCATGGGATCACCACTCTAAAGATTTGCACCTTGCTGAGGTAACAGGCAAGTGCCAATATTAACAAAAGTAATTACTAAGTTCTAACTGGGCTGATACATCATTCAGTTCAATGCAGTTATTAAAACTTGATTTAAATTTGCATCTAAGATGTATGAGAAGAACTTATCGCCTGATGTACCACTGCTGAGCTAAAGCACAAATCTTGCAGTACAATAGATAAGATCTCCTTTATCTCTGCTCTTAACAACCCACATAATTGTAAATTACAAATACTCCCATATAATCTACAGCATTTCATTCAGTCACAGCAGATATTCAAGAGATATAGTCAATCAGATAAAGGGGTGATCTTATTGACACACACAAACTGAATCTGGATCTTCTACCACATGACAGAGTATACAGAAACAAAGGATGAGACTTTCCCAATTGGAAAATGATAATCAATTTTTAAATACCACGATTATCAAAATGTCTCTTGCACAACAAGAATAGCAAAACATAAGCTCCTTTCTTGGTGAGGGATATGTAATTTCTCTAACAAAATCCAGTCCCATAGATCATGCAGATCTTCAAGGACCTGCAGGATAATAAAGTAATCTTAATAAAGTAGTAACTTTGTCCCTTTTTTAAAACAATCAGTGCAACTGTATCAATAATGAAGTTTATTATCTCAATGTAAAACAACAAATTGAGCAGGATCAAGATAATTCAAGGTGTAATTGCTGCAATGTGATTTGCTAAACCCTAAAAGGGGAAATAACATGCATGTTCCTTGAATGTAGGAAAGCCAATGAACATAGCGGCTATACCTGCTGCATGGGATAATGTTGCAAAATATTTAGGTGACCCCCACGAATAGGGCAACCTAAGCAATATGGCTCTGTGGAAGATATCCCTAGTGCTTCCTCACCAAATATGACCTCCCTGTACTTGCATTCAGTCAAAGTAGGTTCCTCCAACTCATTACCTTCATGTTTGACCAAGGACTCATTTTTGACACTTTTATCCATTGAACTTTCTGCATAACCAATAGCCATGTATAAGAAGATGGAAGTAAGACCAAAGCAATAGAAATAAAAACTGGAAATATTAAGAACCACAATATCCAAAGAAACTGCTTAGAATCAGCAGTAAACAAGGTGCACCATCAATGTTTCACAGATCCATTCAAACAAAAAAGTGAGAAGATGGTACAAGGTGAAAAATTGGAAATTTCTAATTACCCGGTGCCACTGATGGCTTTAGGTCCTTCACATCAGTCCAAGTGAAGGCTCCATCCTTCCTGGTATTCTGAGGTTTATGCCCATCAGCGTGTCCCATCTGCACATTAGTTTTAGTAATTTTAGTACTACAAGCTCTAATTGGTCAATATATAGCCACCATCATTGGCATACTTCAGCTTAAAATTCTTACCTTCCGTGGGACAGAATTATTAGCAACCTCTTCATCAAGAAAAGGTATCTTCAACAACGACGCAATCTTTCAAATAAACAAACATTGAATTCAAAATTTGATTACTATATATAATATGTAAATATAAACAAAAAAAAAAAAAAGAAACCAAAGTCAAAATGAACACACTCACGACATCATAAGCTTTTTCGCGCTCCATATGCTGCACTGTGGTGTGCGGGGTCGATTTCTAGTTAATTGATAAGATGCATATATTTTTCTATATTTTTTAAATTATTTGAAATCATAATATATCCATAAATTTAATTTTTTTTATCATATACCATACTTAAATTATAGAAACGTGTTTAATATTTCTTTTAGAAGTGTAACATAATATTGTAAACTTTTATACATTATTTTCTTTTCTACAAAAGTATTAACTATGGTGTAAAAAAATAAAGTGTAACATGAAAAAAAAAAGGAAAAAAAACGTGTCAAAGTCTTTTATAGGAAAATTAGTATGATAGTGAAAGACTGAAAACTTGTTTTATCAATGCATTTCTTATTTCCTACTCAAAATTATTTTGAGATCTTGTTAAACATTTTTTTTTTTTTGAAATCTTGTTTACCAATTAGTCGATAACCATTTGGTACATTTTACTCTTAGCTTTACTCAACATTGATTCTGTCTTGCTTTGCTTGCATTACCCGTAATTGCTAGTCCTTGTGCCGTAACTCGGAACCCCTACATAATCAACGCAACAATGAGTACAAAAGTTCATTTCAGTTGGACGTGAAAATGCCAGCTTACCTCCCAAGAAAGTTGAGGCATAAAGGTAATTTACTTCGTAATTTTAAACAAGGTGATTCGGCATGAAAGCTATATGAAAATTATATGAATTAAAAAATTGGCAAAAAATGCATAAATTTAGAAAAATCTAAAAACCATATTTTATGTTTAAATATGTTTATACTAATTAAGATAAAATAATTTTTATATTTTATAAGCATTTGACAAATATATATGTACAAATTATTAGATTGTCTATGCCTATTACTCCTAATAATAAAGAGTTCAATTTTGATTTTGAGTTTTACGACTGAAAAAAAACGTGTTAGAGAGATTGCTTCCCTAATAAAATCCGATTCAGCTTAGCTCAACTTCAAATTAATCAAAATTCAAAGTGATTATCAGATATAGAGAGTCTCAAACCCAAAAAAAAAAAAAAAAAAAAAAAAACCAGATAAACATGTAAGTTATGATAGGCGTCCATTCTCGCAGAGCTAGAACGACTTTGCCCTGTGCATTCCACCACAACACTCCTAGGCCCAGCAGAGGCGTTAATCCTAGTCTTGGGCTTTTACTTTGCATTACTTACAGGTAAATTATTACAGGCAGAAAAATATGACCCAAACCATGCATATATTCATCTTGAGAACATCCACTGCAACTTCCTGAATGGCAGTGGAAGAATGAAAAAGTAAAGAGAGGTGAGGTGAAAAAGTCATAATCCAAAGATCAAAAATGCAAAAGAACAATAAAAATTAAAGCCGGGATCCTGATATTTTCCAGTTCTCTATGAATCCATCCTATCCCGTGAACTAATAATCATATCAGATGCAGTATCTTGCTCCATTATGGAATACATGAATGGATGCAATAAACATTGATAATTACTGAAAGTTTGCTGCTTTAAAGGGCAGCCATGGTTCCAGTACCATAAAATATAGATTAAGTCATTTGAAGTCTAAACCAGGAAATAAAAGTATTCATTAAAACCCTAATTTTTGAACTCAGAAATCAAATTTTCATAGAAAATAAACAAGAGGCAACACATAGTGTTTAAGTGAATAAAGAACTAATAAAAAACATTTTAACTCCTAAAATTGGGAAACAATCAAGTGTTGCGTAGATCTGCAAAATATTATCTGGCGCTGCACAGCAACTACTAGACATGGTTTAAATATGAAAACCTGAAGAACTTTCCACCTTTTACCAGCTGCTTCTTCAATATACTTAAGCAGCTTTTGGCTTAATGGCCTTCTTCTTTAGTTGCCTTTTTGGTATTGAGTTTTTCATCCCCCAGAAGAAAATTAACGCACCACATTGTGCAACACACTGCCATTGATTAAAAAAAAAAATCAATGAAGTTCTCGCGTCATAACGCCTAGGAACACGTTAGGCATACATTTGTACATACCTGCAAGAAATCACTGAGCAGAACAGAGTATTGGGGCTCATTGGGATGATAGTTGTAGAAGTCATAGAGAAGAGGAGTGCTAACCAGCAAGTAGACAAACTATGGCAAAAGAAAGGAGAATTAAATGAGACATAATTGTAGAATCAGAAGAAACCGCTAGGTGCAGTTGCATACATAAACTTCCTTTTAAGTTCAAATGTAATCAAAATCATCACCAAAAAGAAATGAAATTCTAACCAGGAGGAAGGCTCCAAAGCCATGACCAAATACAAATAGAATAGCACCAAGTCCTTTCAAAGCAATGGCAGCTGCAACTAATTGTTTAACCTATGTAAAAATGTCTCCATGTAAGAAAAAAAAAGTACATCTAGAGCAATGCGAAAAAGATATATCATATTAACACAAACTTAATATATTAAAATAAGAAAGAAATTCATTACAAGTTAGTAAGAGAAGAAAATAAAATCTTACTTCAATATCAGGCAAATTTACATGGAGTTGAGAAGATACGTGTTTCTTGGCAAGATCAAGCTTTGGTATCAAATCCTTAGCAGCAGGCCCGCCATCAACCCCAAATTCATTGAACCTGCCAACATATTAAATATATCACTATATCTACAACATATCATTAGCGTTTAATGACTGGTCCTACCCGACCTCTTTACAGCCTAACCGCTCTTATGATTATTAGTGCAATAACTGGCAACAATACAGCAGCAGTGAAATAAACTAAATATAGCAGCAGTGAAGTAAACTAGAAGTAAACTAAATATAGCAACAGTGAAGTAAACTAAGTACAGGGCCAATCACCGAAATTACACCATCCACACCAGAATGGTGATGATGAGATTTCGGCAAAGCATGAGAAATTCAGGGCATTGAACCGACTGCCAGATTAGACAAGGACACATGAGTTTCCACTTCATGGAACTCAGATTCATCTTCTCAAAACAAAACATGGCCTACACAATAATATCTCCAGGATGTACTTAAACAATACAACCATTTTCACTAAAACTAACCATCCAGTTTTAAACTGGCAACTATTAGGTTTATTCAAACCCCCTCCCAAAAAAAAAACAAAAAAGTAAGAAACTCTTTGTCCTGGCAAATTATAACATTTAAAATATAAAGTATAAAATTCAAAATTTGAAAAAAAAAAAAAACATTTTTGCTACTAACTCCCAAATTTACAATCTTGAAAAGTGGCCCAGATCCTCAACAAAAGTCTTCATTAATCACATTTATAAATTAAAGAAAATGATCCAAAAGTACCCAAAAAAATACCCAAACCATAGCAAAAACAAAATAAAATAAAATACAGATCTAAAACATAAACATATTTCTAAAACAACCCAACAAATAGATTGAAAGAGATCTCAAACAATAGAGAAAGAGTGATTACATTTGCCAAGCGGAGAGGACGAAAATTGAAGCAAAGAAAACTCGTCCCGCAAATGAAGCAAAACCCATTTTTTACCGCTTGGTTTCGAGCAAAAAAATAAAAAGTGCTCAAAGAGCAAATTTCAGAGTTTCCTTTTCTCTTCTTTGCTGCTACCTTCTCTCGAGAAGAAGAGCGAGAGGGGAAATTCTGGGGTTTTTGTTTTCTTAGAGGTGGTCGGGGTCTTGATGGCGTCAATTATTTATTAATTAAAAAGAAATTAAAGTGGAAAAAAATCGAACTTCAAGAATATTGATTGAGGTGAGATGAATACGGAAGAGGTGAATCGAGATCCAATTTCACTACATTACTACTATATCACATGTTTCGTACTTCTGGGTTTGGAGTTTTGCTTAATTACGCCTTTGACATAACTGTAAGAATACTTTTTTAGCCAGAATTTTATAGCAGTTTAGAGGTTAATTTAGTAAAAAGGCACTGTAAAAATTACTATATGATGACAAATTAAAAATATATAAATTGTACCCCAAAAATTTAAATATCTATAGTATTTAAGTATTAAAAATATATTGATTTAATTTTGAAACATTAAAAGTTAAAACTAGCCAAAATGTAATATTTTGTCCATAATTTAAAAATATTATTTTGTAATTAATTTATATCTTAATTATATATAAATTTAATATTTTATTAAATTAATTTTTTATTAAAATATTAAATAATAAATTTATTAATATTATATATAATTAAGTAAATAATTAAATATATTTTATATATACGTTGAAATAAGTCCAGATAAATTAAATCTAATTTCAACCATCTTAACTATTTTTTATATAAAATCCATTCTCGATCCAATTTCGATTTAAAAAAAAAAAAATCACTCTATCTGATAAGGATGGAACGAATCGCAAATCATAAAATCTAAGTTATTTTGTTATTTTTAAATCAAATCCTTTAATGCAAGTGATAGATTTCCATCATTTATTCAATTTTCACTCAGCATTTTTTTTGTAAAAAATCACTAAATCTAAAATATAGTCATAAAATTCAATAAAATTAAAAGTATACTGATAAAACTTAGCATTAATCTTTTATATAGTAAAAATTTGACATTAATTTTAAATTTTATCATTTTTTTCAACAAATAAAAGTAAACTTTTTATATATAATTATATATCCAAAGTATTTCGAGTTGAACATACTCTATATAAGTAATTGATAGTCTTCAAAAGGATTATCTCACCTAACAAAAATTTTTTTATGTAAATAATAAAAATCATAGATGTATCACCAGAAAATTAATTTAAAAATTAATTCAATTAATAAAAAAAAGAATTATCTTTCTTCGTTAACTAAGATGTTATTATTTTTTAATAACATTTTGAAAATAAAATTTTAAATACGTCAAATTGATACGAGAGAATGTAACCATAAAATCATTAAATGAGACAATTAAGCTAGATAAAACTTAGGGGCATCTTTTACCCAAAAAAACCACTATATAAGTTGAAATTATTTGACACTTATTTTTATCCTTAAATCTTTCCTTTAAAGCAAATTTTGTGATTATATCACTTTGGCCTAAAAGAAAAAAAAATCCATGTGCTTTAGTTTTATAAGGTTTATCATTATGATTGTGCATATTGAATTAATTATAGTCAAAGATTAATAAAATTAATTAATATTTGTACGCAAATATTGACAAATAAATTCTATTTAAGACTAAAATATAAATGCGTTTGGTTAGGGATGATTTTAATTTGTTAGTTTAATGAAAAAAAAACTCTTTCTTGTATATTCATTTACTACTCATCTACCTCCACCAACTCACCCTTTCTATTGCCCATATCTTAAATTAATTGCATTGAAACAAACATGGCTTTAAATACCACCATAACTCGCCCATTCTCAACTCATTCAAAAAATAATTTTGAGAAATTAAAAATAATAAGTTCAATTTTTATTTTGATATATAAAATTATAGCTTTTCAATTTTTTTGGTAACGAGTATTCCAAAGACAATTGTTGGGTGTTAAAGGCTTATATGTTTAAATAATGTACATGATGATTTTTAATGCATTAAATTATTTTGTATAATTATTTAACAAGTGTCTTTTAAATATTCCTAGGAAAAACTTTTGTGGAATAAAATATTAATTTACCATTTCATTTATGTGAGTGGTTCAAAAATTTACTACTAATTTTTTTAATTGGTATAATTTTATCGTTATATTGTTTAATTTTCATGCAAATTTATCGTTATACTTATAATTTTGTATCAAACTTGATCAAGTTGTAATAATTGCAAAATATTATATAAAGTATGTCGTTAAAAAATAGTTTATAATTAAAAAATTTGTTTTAAAAGATAACAAATAATAAATTTAAAGTTCAAATTTTAACATGGATAAAATTTTTTAATTTTTTGATTAAGTTCTTCTTTGTAAAAAATCTATTTTATAATTAAAAAATCTTGAAAATAACTTTATAAAAAAAAAAAAAAGCCAAAATCAATTGAAGAGTTTGAGGTGGCATTCTATTCAATAGAAAATGCCTTGAGGAAAGAAGAAAAAATAAAATAGAGATAAGATATAAATTTACCACTTTATTTAAGTGAGAATCTGAATTTACCATTAATATTTTAATTAGTATAATTTTATCATTATACTTTTAATCTTCAAGCAAATTAATCATCGGACTTCTAACTTTTTTTTTTATAAGTTTAAGTTTTAAAATATTCATAAATAATTAAATATCATCTTAATAATAGTCCATAAACATTTTAAATATTTTACTTACAAATAATTTCCTTTTTAAAGCAACCTGATGTCTCCTCAATCTTTTTTACAATGTGCATAAATAAAGAAAGTAATCGTTTTTAGTGAACGTGGTCTAATGATTTTTTTATTCTTTTGAAATGTTTAATAAATTGTGATACATTTTTTACATAAATTAATATTTTTTTGTTATTTATTTATTTTTGAAGATTTCAAAAACCAATCATCTTTCCTATTTATTGTTGCTCTTTCAACATGGATTATTGATGAGAAAGGAAATTTTAATTAAACTGAAAAAATTTTATTCAATTATAATCGGATCTAATTTAATTTGATCAAATAAATGACTCAAATTCCAATAACTTAGATGTCAAATAATTTAAATTAATTTAATATTAAATTTTAATAACTTGAATTTCAAATGACTCAAACTCTAATAAATTAAATGTCAAATTTGAATAATTTTAACTTAAAATATCCAAATATTTAGTTATGGTGTAATTTGTTAGTTAATTATTATCATTATAAATTTTTTTATAATTAATTAATTATTCAATGATATATTATATAAATATAATAATTGATTATAATTATAATTTTTTTATATTTATAATTTCATAAAAAATCCAAATTTCTTTAAAAAAAAAAACTTAAAAATCAAATCAAAATCCAGCTTGATCCAGCTTGATCCATCCAATTTGACACCGGCAATGCATCCTATGAATTGGGTTCCCCATTTCTCATAAACAACTTTGACATACATTATAGGTAGAAACAATTTAACAAAAAAAAAGAAAAAGGTTTTAGTGAGAAACAAGAGATCATGAATAAGATCTGATCTCATTTCATCATCTGTCATGTTTGATTTAGGTGAGTTGTTATTTTCACGTGCAGGTCAATCAGCTTATACTCTATAAATAAGTTTTATAATTTTATACTTTCAATTAATTAAACATTAATTTTAAAAAAATTAAAGAGAGAAAAAAGAAAAGAAAAATATTTAAAGTCAGGCATGCCATTAGCACACTTGACTTTAATTACGGGATTGAATAAGAACGTGACAACAGAGGCCCAATAATTCATTGTTCATTGCTTCTTTCCATGAATTTTGATAGGATTTCAAAATGATTTTGTCAGTTCTTTTTTCCCTTTGCTTTTCTTTTATTTATTTTATTATTTGTTGAGATCTGGGATTCCCAAAGTCTGGTTTCTCTGCAATTGCTTGTGCTTTTGCCAAACTCCTTTTTGTTCTTTTTTAAAAGTAAAATTACATTAAATTTGAGTGTGCAATTATTTTTGCTGGGCAAGGGAAATACCCGAATTAATGTGAGTACTTATATTTGGGTAGGTTTTACGAAGTAGGTAATTTTTTTTTTCAAAATATATATTATATAACATTAAAAGACATAGATATCTTTATTTTATTATCAATGACGTATTTAGAATTTTTTTAATAAATATTTATTTATAATATATAAAATTTAAAATTTAAAATAATATTATTTTATTATTATAAATATTTGATGAATTTTCATATCTTAAAAAATATAATTGTATTATTTTAATACCATCAATTACATTTTTATTAATATTTTCATTTGTAAATCTGTCCACACGTTATCTAAAATGTCGGCAGTTAATATACTAAAAAATTATTTAAGAATTTGTTAATTTTGTCAATAAAAAATATTAAAAAAATTGAAAGAGCGAAAAAGAAAATTTTTTTTAAGATTTTTTTATTTTTTAATTTTTAAAATATTCATAAAAACCCTATTATAACCAATAGATCAGCCTCTGTTTATTATTTGATATGTATAATTTTATTTTATTTTATTTATTTGGTAAAAAAATAATTTTATTTATTTTTTATACTTTCCTCGAGTTAACTCGTGAATCGTGATATCAGCACAATCAAGAATAATAAATACTATAAATATATTAAATAAAGACATTTTTTAAATATCATAATAAAAAGGTTTACTTCACTGGTGAACTGCCTCACTAAGTCCGATTGTTATCTACAACTTTATGTGTTAGGTTTAAGTTTTGTTATTTGTAAATTTAATTATTTAGTTATGTTATAATTTATAATTTAATTATTTAATAATTATAATTTTATTATAATGTAATGATTGATTATTTAATTAATTATATAAATATAATATTTAATTATGATTATATTTTTTTAATTTATAATTTTATAAAAGAAAATCTAATTGTTGTCGAAGTGTTTTTAAAATATATGTTAATAATTACCTAAAAAGGTTAATTTATTAAGTATAAAAGTTTTTTTTATCAATTAAAATTTAATTTTTGTGAAAAATATTTCACGAAATAGAATTTTAAATGCATTAGAGAACAGATTTGTTAAGAAAATATATTAGGTCAAACCAAAACCTATCCTACGATATTATATATAGAAAAGTATGTGTTAGCTAATTATTTTTTAAAATTTTTTAAAACTTGCTTCAATTTCTTAATAAATCAGAGTGAAATATTTACCTTTTATTAAAAGGAAAAATTATTAAATCAAACATTCACCTAAGTAAATGAGCAATAGCAATTTTTTTATATAAAAAAGTAAAAATTAAAAAATTACAAATTACAAATATTAAAAATCAAATTTCCGTCGTATAGGAACTCAATTTAAAATATATGTGAATAATTTAGGTTAAGTTTAATATTTTAAAAAATAGACATTTTTTAAACTTGGTAATTTCCTTTCTAAAATGGAAACTTTTTGAACTTCCGAACGCCCCCACATTCAAATTTAAATTTCGAAAAATGGATCAAGAGGGGCAAAATTAGGGTGGAGAACCTAATTTATTTTCGACGTATTTTGATTCGATTTGATTTTATAAGATCGATTTTTGTTTTAAATTAAATTTTGAAATCGAATCGAATTGGATAATGTTAAAAAAAGATCGAATTCAAATTTTAGATAAACTTGATTCTATTTGATCTAATATTATATAAAAATAAAATTTAAATTAATTTTTTATTTATATATATTTAAATATTTATTTAAAAATAATATTTTATATTTAAAAAATAATATTTTATTAATTTCAATTATATGATTTATATAATATCAAATCAAATTTAAATATTAAAAAAATAAAAAAAATTTAAATTAAATCAAATTTAAATTTAACAAATATAAAATCGAATCAAATTCGAAGCGAATAAAAACACATCTCGATCCGATCATCACGAGCAAAATAAAAGAAAATCACGTCACGAGGTGGCCACGACCGTAAATTATATCAAACTGCAAGGACATTTTCCGTGTCCAACCTCATAAATTTAAACCACATACTCAACTCGATTTCTAGTCTTGTCCACGTCACCCTTCCCAAGTCTTAAATCAATCAATCTGATTGGCCAAACAACGTGTCCCATTTCTAATTCCGCAAGTTTTAAACATTCTCATACTCGCGAGCGTACGTCTTTTTTCGACTGATCTTTCTCTCCATAAAACTCGCTCGTTGTTCGATACTTTAGTTTCTTACCTCGCCCCTTTTGTCTCTCCTAGCTTGACTCGTTTTCGGACAGTAGTTTCTTTCGTCTGTTTTTCAAAAGAACCTTTATTTAGATTGATTTTTCGTAGAATTTTAAGGTTTTTTGTTGGAATATATGGCGCTTGTTTCTTTCATTGGAAGAGTTCTTTTCGCTTCAGTGTTTATCCTCTCTGCTTGGCAAGAGTAAGCTTCACTTGAAATCTACACTTTTTTTTTTGTTTCTTTTTCTTTTCATTTTCTTTTTGTGTTCTCCAATGGAGACTGTTGGGCCTCGAGAAAAAAAAAAAGAAGAAGAGATATAATTTGGATCTTAATCCAGATGTGGAACTCAGAGCTCATGTGAACTGTTAAAAGTAGACAGGCTTTATTTAATTATGATTTAATACTTTTTTTAAAGATTTGATTAAATGTGGGGCTTTATGTGAATAGATCCTGTTTATAATAAAGTTGCTAGCTTTATTGGAAGAATTAGTGTAATTTAAAGCGTTATTAGGAGTGAAATTTATATTGCTGCTGTGTGTTAGGATTGCTTAAATGTTTAGTTTATAAGATTACCTTTTTTTTTTAAAGTTGTAGATCTCATGAATGCCATCAATATTACAATGGTTGTTGTTGGCTAGCAGTTAATGTGTTGCGTAAAAGAGAAATAAAGAGTGTTAGGAGTATAGATTTTTGTTGCTTGACTTGACGCATTCTTGGTTGTGGCCATATTACTAAGTGGGGCCTTGGAAAGGCTCTGGCCTATGCGGATATGGTGTAAATTTTTAACATTTTATCGTTGTGTTGAAGGAAAATTTGTGTCAGCAGTCAGCACTTATATCTCTTCCCATAAGACTTAGACTAGCTAAAGGAGTAGATTATAGGAGATTTGGGTTTTCCTTTTCAATCACAATTGCTCTGTTTTCTAGCTTGAGCTTAGTATATGTTGTCTGCAAGTTTTGAAGTAGTAAGTTCTGTCATGCTTGCGTCTAATCTTGCATTATGTATGCATATGTAGGTTCAACGAATTTGGCGTTGATGGAGGGCTGGCAGCAAAGGCGCTGAAACCAAAATTCAATGTCTTCTCAAAGACTGTGTCATCTCATACAGGAGTGCAAGTGCCAGAATTCGACGCAAGAAATGCTATAATTCACCATTGAGAAAAACCTATTTATTCTTTGCTTATATCAAAATTTTCTAATGTCCTAACTCTTGGAGTTGTTATTTACAGATTAAGTATCTGGTTGCGGCGGCTATAGCTTTTAAGGGTGTTGGGGGTATTTTTTTTATCTTTGGCAGCAGTATCGGAGCTTATCTTCTGGTTTGTTTTATGGTCTTATGTGTTGTTATGAGTTAGTAGCTCAATCATCAACTAAGGCAACTGATAAAAGTATTACATTATTCATCTCTTGCAGGTTCTGCAAGAGCTCATTGTTACTCCTATAATGTATGATTTCTACAACTATGACATGGAAAAGAAAGAATTCGGTCAACTTTTCTCAAAGTTCTCACAGGTTATTATTTGATAGAATATATTTTTTGTAAGGGTTGATTGGTGTCTCTGCTTCTTCCTTTTGATTTTACGTTTCTTGTTAGTGATTCTTTTCAAATTGTAGATATAGATGGTGAAATTTTCAATGTATTGTTTCTAACTAAATTTCCTTTACTTAGAACTTGGCATTGCTAGGGGCATTATTCTTCTTCATTGGCATGAAGAACTCAATGCCCAGGAGACAACTCAAGAAAAAGACTCCAAAAACCAAAACAGTTTGAAGAGGAAAGTCTGGTAAACCAAGGGTCTACTTTATTGTTTGATCTCTATTTACCTCAGTCAATCCAGATCTATTTTTGTATGCTTGTGTCAAGGCTTTGTTTCTTCAAGATTAGTGAAAAAAGGGCATATTACTTTGACAGTTTGATACTGTTAGCTACTAAGTTAAGTTCATCGTTATTTAATTGAGTTTGAGAAAGAATTTAATAATTTTGCTTTTGAATCTGCTGCATTATTTGTTTTGCCTATTTTCATGAAACTTTTAGTCAAGGATTCATGGTGCTTGTGGATGTGATATACAAGGAAAAGTTCCTCTTCAGGGGACATTTACAAAGTGTGACAATGTTTTTGAGAACCTTCAACTGTTGAGAAGCAGAATGGAGAGCAACTAATTAGTTTTAGTTTAAATGCATTGTGCTATTCATCTATCATGGGACTATTGTTTCTATATAATGCTAGGTAAAAGTCCATAATCAATTGCCATGAGTCAACTGAGAACTGAGAAAACCATCTTGTTAATTTAATTTTATATGCCAATCACAAAAAATGAGGAAGAAAGGATTAGAGGGAATATAGAATATAACTATACAAGAGAGGGGGAGAGATGAAGAGAGAGCTTTCAGAGTGTTTGTTTTTTTTTTTATTAAATAACTATTACAATTATGACATTAGGTAGAATAGGAACCTAATTGATAATAATTTATGTTAATAAATATTACATTTATGATATTAAGTACTCTATTATCTACTCTTATCTACTTCTGTTAAATCTCTGTCATTGCTTTTGATAGGTAGCTTGATTCATTGGTAGTTTGGCTATTTGGTAGTTTAGCAAGTCTATTAACAACAAATGCTGATTTTTTGTCTTTTTATCCACCTTGAATATTCGCTAGATTTATAACTTTTTCATCTTTTGGATTAAAAAAAGTTAGTGAAGTTGTCTTTGATTTGTTTTATTATTCTTATTTTTCTTGATACTAGAGTAATAAAGAAAAACTATTTAGAATGGAAGGCCTGGATTATCCATTTTCTTTATTACTCTAGTATCAAGAAAGATAGGAGCAATAGAACAAATCAATTATAACTTCATCAGCTTCTTTTAATCCAAAAAAATGAAGAAGCTATAAATTTGACGAATATTTAAGATGGATAAAAAAACAAAAAGTCAATATTTGCTATTGATAGACCAATTAGATGCTAAACAGTTAGACTGCCAATGAATCAAATAATATGTCAAAAGCAATGGCAGAGATTTAACAAAAGTAAATAAGGGTAGATAATAAGATATCCAACATTATAAATGTAATATTTATTAACATGGGTTATTAGTTTACCTAATGTTATAATTGCAATGGTTATTTAATAAAAAAGAAGTAGACACTTAGGAGCTCTTTCCCTTTTTCTTGTATAGTTATCTTTTGTATTCTTTTTAATCCTTTCTTTTTCATTTTTTGTAATCGATATCAGAGCTTTGTAAAGAATCTTATCTATTGTAGCTTGTTTAAATCAAGGTTGATATATATATGTATATATGTATCCTAGTTGAGGTTTTCATCGATTCTTATAAGTATTTCTTTACTTTCTCAGCTTTTAGTTTTTAGTTTTATGTTCTAAAACTCATATATCTGTTTATTATCTCTATATTAGTATTGTGGTTTTGTTATTGCTTTTTAATCTAGCTTTTGAGATCTTGGTATGATATACATACGGTTTTAGATGTTAGGAATATAGAGCAAGAAATTGAAAACTACGTTTGTTCATAAAAACTTCATTATTATAGTCTACATGTGGATCCTCAATTGAAAAATCATATATCGGCAATCAATCATAGTATTAATGATTTGGTTGATTTATCTGTTACTTTCTTTAAAAAATTATTTAATAAAGTTGATATATTAGAATAAAAAATAGATAATTTAGGATAAGTTATTAGTTTAGATTTACACTAAGAAGCTAAATAGTTATTAGTAAATATTAATGAAAAATTAAAATTATTAAAAGTGGATGAATGTCAAACAAATGATTTTGGACCATTATATTATGGTAATGCTATTCTTATGCTTAATGATGATAAATTATCATCTTCTCCACCAATGAAGTTTTTTAAAGCAAAATGATTGGATTTTAAATCATACAAAAGTTTCATAAAACATTTTACTAATAAAATGAAAAAAACAAATATGATAAAAGAATTACATGAAACATATATAAAATTTTTTTAAAAAATTTAATTATAATTATATGTTTAATTATGATATTATCGATAAAAATAGTTTAGATGAAGAAGATAAATATAAATTTTAACTAATCTAGTAGTAAAAGAAAAAAACTAATAGTATAGAATCCTCATCTTCTGAGAAAGTAGATAAAGATATCGATATTAAACTCATACCTATGGATCTCGATCAATAAAAAGTTGATAAGGATAAATGAAAAGTATGAGAAATTTTTAACCAAAAAATAGATGATTAAAGTAGGTTTGAAAATAGAATCAAAAGTGATATTTATAAGGATGAAATAAAACAAATTAAAACATCTTTTGGAATTATTACAAAACTTAATTACAATATAGTTTTATAGAATTTTTAAACAAAAGAAATGTAGGTCAAAGAGGTATGTATTTAGATTTTTCAAAAATTTCTATAAATGATTATGGTAAAATCATAGAAGATTGAGCACAATCTATGATTATTGTAGTAAATAACCATAAAGATACTTGGTCTAAAGAAAAAAATTAAAATTATTTTTATGGAACATTTTAAAAAGATGTTTTGCAATTTTTACACAAATGGGAAAATTCAAAAGTAGAAAGAGATGAAAAAGGAACTCTTTTAAGTTAAATTACAATTATATCAAATTTATTAAAAAATCTTATAAATTTATTAAAAAATGAATTTTATGGAAGAATGGAATCAGCTAACCAAAACAGTTATACTAGTTATGTATTAACCAAAATAAATTACGTGATATAAGATAGAAGAATTTTCTAAAAAATATATTCATGAATACAAAAAATTGGATGAATCACATTCAAAATTTTGGAAAGACTTTTCATAAACTATCATCATCATGGGATGAACTTTGTAGTATCTTAAATATTTGAAACTTCATAATTTTACAACAAAACATAGAGATTAATTAAACTCTATAGGAAATAGAGTTTATTTTGCTTCTAAACAAGTTGTACAATATTGCATTAAAACAACATAAGCTATGAAAGTTAAAAGTAGATAAAGTGATAACTAATATATAAAAATATTATTTAACGAATGAAAATTTGGATATAAATCTCAATCTAAAACCCATTCAAAGAAGAAATACAAAAAGAAAAGAAGATATAAATTGTCAAATGGAACATTAAAAAGCATGAATTTGACAAAAAGAAAAAAAGTGTTAGAAGAAAATTTTCTAAAAAGAAATCTAAATGTAAATGTTTTAGTTGTGATGAAAAAGGATATATTGCATCTTAATGTCCTAATAAAGGAAAAAATGTTAAAAAAGTTATAAAAACTCTCAAAAAACAAGATTTAAAAATTTGTTTGAAAAAGAAGTATCTAAAAAAGAAATTACTTAGGAATTAATTTCTAAAATAGATTCTGATTCCGATAATGATGAGTATATTTTTATGCTTAATCAAAACAACACTCCTAGTAATAATTCTATATTAAAAGCTAATAATCAATTTAGTTATGAAACTAAAGATATACCTATTGAAGAACAATAGATAAAATTAAGTGATGTATTAGGATAAGATATTATTTTAGATGAACTGTTAGAAAAACTACAATTATTAAGGAAAGATGAAATAAATAAACTTTTCAAAATTCAACTCATGGACACAAAGACATAAAAAAATTTAGTGATAATACCGTAGCCATTGATTCTAATCAAAGATCTATAGATATTCCTTTATTCACTAAAGAAAAAAAAGAGAATTAAACAAAAATATCTTGAAGTTAGATGTATACATTTAAGAATAATTATGATAACTATAAAAGTATTATTCAAAATTGGTAATGATATACCAATAATAGTAGTATTAGTAGATAAAAGATTGGAAAATCCTATTAAAGCACTAATAAGAGGAATACAATTAAATATTGTATCAGGAGTTGTTTGATTTAAAGTAAAACCAAACTATTTAATTTCTATTAATGACCCATTAGTAGAAGATTGCTTTAGACTTAAAAAATAATGACAAAAAAGTCATAAATTAAAATTGTGGCTCATGATTTGTTTATAAATTGGATAGCTATTAATAAATTTACTAATCATATTTTTACATTTATCAAAGAGATAGATTTTAATATTATTGATATATTCGAATCTAGATTGTTTGATTCAGAAATTAAACCAAGATTAATAAATCTTAGAGATTTGTCTATACCAACTAGAAAGCTATTAGAAGGAATTACAAAACATGCTTTTTCTAATAAAAAGAATAAAACCCATTGAATTTTTTATGTTAGTAATAAACATTTCTTTTAAAAATCATGGAGGTAGTAGTCCTAGCAACAATCTAGTTCTACTACCACCTTTTTCTATACCATTGTTCTCAAATAGAGATAAAAAAAAATTAAAAGTATTGCTAGTAAACAATCATTTATTTCATACAAGTAATTTTTTCTTTTTCAACCTCAATCAATAGGTACAAAAAATATAAATACTCTTATTTTTTTAGTAGATACAAGTATTCAAAATCAAGATATTCGGTTTACAACTCAATAAACTCAGTTTTAAATTCAATTTCTTTTAAAAATACTAGAAGAGATGATATTCGAAGTCTGGCTATAATCAACCAATATAAAATTGGTAATGATGAAGTAATTACATTTTGAAAAAATCAACTAAAGAGGTATTACAATTATGTTGAAGTAGAATTTAGATTTAAACAGTATAAATCATATTTTTTAAATATTTTAATAAATACTGGAGCAATTATATGTAGTTGCAGAAGTAATGCTTTACCATTCAAAAAATGGGAGCCAATGAAACATTTTATAGCAATAATAGGATTCAATGGAAAAGAAACTATAATAAGATATAAAGTAAAAAAAGTTTCTATTTATTTTATGAATAAAAAATTCATAATTTTAAAAATTTTATGTTTGAAATAATTTAATATACAATTATTTATCTTTTTGTTTGAATATCAATAATATTGTATTAACTATAAATAAAGAATCTATATAAATACCATTAGCAAAAAAATCATAAACATATATGTAACCTTGATTTTCGACCTGAAAACTAAGCAAAGTGAATTAAATTAATAAGTGAAATGCACTAGTTATATAAAATCTTAAAAGAAAACTTTAGTGAAGAGTCATTAAAATTATGGTCCAGAAGTCCTTGATTTTGTAGTTTAAAAATTTTTTATTCAAAGAAAATAATTAGAGTAAAACCAATAACCTATACCAAATAAGATATAGATGAGTTTGATATATAAATCAAAGAGCTTTTACAAAAAGAATTTATAAAATCCATTACTAGTCCATATTCAAGCTCAACATTTATGGTAAGTAATCATGTTGAGCAAAAAAGAAGAAAAGCTAGAATGGTAATCATATATATAAAAGACTTAACCAAAATCTAGTATTTTATGGTTATTTTATTTTTAAAATTAATGTATTAATAAATTTAGAAAAAAATGTTAAATATTTTAGTAAATTTGATTGTAAATCAGAATTTTGGTAAATAATGCTGATTAAAGAGTCAAAGCCATTGATCACTTTCAATGCATCCCAAGGCCATTATCAATGGAAAGTTATATCCTTTGGACTTTGTAATGCTCCACAAATATTTTAAAGATAGATGGATACAATCTTTGAAAAATATAAACATTTTTGTGTAATATATATTGATGATATACTTATATTTTTTGAAACATTAAATGAGTTTAGGAAACACTTAAATCTCATAGCTTAGGAATTAAAAAACATGGTAGAATATTAAGCCTTAAAAAGATAAGAGTTTGAAAAAACTAATATAGAGTTTTTAGGCTTAAATTTATCTTTAGAAGGTAATACTTTACAAGAACATATTATAGTAAAATCAAAAAATTTTTAGAACAATTGGAAGATAAAAAACAACTTCAAAGTTTTCTAGGTCTCCTTAATTATGCAAGGTAATTTATTAAAAATCTCTATAAAAAAAATAAAGTTTTACAAGAAAAACTAAAAAAGGATATATCTTTTTCTTAGACAAAAAAGATTATGATATTATTAAGCAAATAAAATTAGATCTTAAATTTTTACTTAAAGTATATCTTCCTAAACCTAGAGAATTACTTATTCTTGATATGTAGGAGCTCTAAGAACATTAAAGGGGTCATTGAAGGTCATTTGCTTGTCTCTTATAGTATTTATCTCCAAATACCTCAACAGAGTACTGATTGCATACCCGTAGACCAAACTAATATCTTTGTTCTAGACTACCCTCATCATATCATGAAAAATGAAATGCACCAAATTTGGTTTCTGTCCATTCTTGATCTTATACATCTATCAATAATCTTACTTTCTAATGGTGGAGTACTGTGTCCCAAAAGGTGCTAGAACATGGGTAACTATGAGGTGAAGCAATCTATCATGCATGGGTAACCGACAGACTTGAGTGAGAGCAACTAGGAGATTTGGATTGCTAAAGGTATATTGTGCAAGTTGCACCATATCACATCTAGTGTCTGTTTCTTACATATCATCTAGCTTGAAGGCTTCAGCTAACATTTGCTTAGTGACTAAAATTTTCCTTCCCATTATATAAGTTCTAAACCTATCAAGATAATGCATATTTGTTTTTTTAATCTGAATACAACTTGCATTACTATAAAAAACTCTTACTAAGTTATCAAATAACAGGCCCTCTATACATAAGTAATATAGCCAACCAAATGCCTCAAAGATATGCAGGTAAAGGAAGTCTATGGAGTGGAGGAAATTTATAGAAATTACCCTGTCGTGTTTGACTTTTCAATTGGCAAAGTTCATCTCGTACCAGTCCTTTGTCTCTAGATTGTTGAAGTTCTGATTAAAGGAGGGCTTCATCGTGGTGCTTGACGCCTCCTTTGGGGGGTTCCTTCGTTCGGCAGTAACTTTGGTTCTTGGGGCCATTTTGAGACGAAATTGATGGGTTTCAGGGAGGAATTTCGGTAAGAGGTCAAGTTGGAGTGAAGGAATTTGCACAA